ACGGCGGCGGCGACTCCTCTTCTTCTTCCTCTGAGTCCTTCGCCTTGGATTCGGCTGCCTTCGCCGCGGTCATCGGCTCCGTGGTAGCTAGCAAGGCCGCCATCTTCCCGGAAGAGCCGCCACTTACCTGGGGGCCCGCCTTGCTGCCATGGTAACACCACGCGGCCGGAAAAGGCCTGGGGCGGGACTTCCGGGAGGACGTCCTCAGGGGCGCCTCCGCGGAGCGTGCGTTCTGGCCAATCATCTGCTGTCAGGGTGGCTGCTATGAATTGGGCCCCGGGTACTCAGCCCTGGCGTCGTTTGCTCGCCCCCTCGGAATCTATCCCCTCTTCCGAGCGTCTCTGGAGGCTCCGGGAGCGGCAGCTGCTGGGCTGAGCTCCCCCGGGTCCCATTCCCATGCAGATCCTGGGCTGCCGAGCATCGTCCCTTCCTCGCTCCCCGTCCCTCAGCCATATAAGGAGCGGCAGCTGCCAGGGCGGCCCCAGGATCTAAAGATAGCGGCAGGGCCTGGGACTCCAGACGCCACCTGGCAGCTGGAGTCGCCATGGCACGGTGAGAAGTTCGGGGGAACCCACCTCGGGCTGCCCCTGCCCCAGTTCTGCGCACTGCTGGCCCGGGGGAGCCCTGGACCCGGGGGCGCTGGGCCTGAGCCGAGGGGGCGGAACCCGAATGCTGCCCCTGACTTTCCACCTCCCACCCCCAAGCCTGGCAGCTTGGACTCTCCCGGGGTTCACCCGCCCGCGTCCACGCTGCTGGCGCTCTCGTCCCTCCCCTGCCTTCCCCACTGAGTGCCGCTTTAGCAGAAGGCGGCACCCAGCGGCCCAGCGTGGTTCCCCCCAGGCAGCACGCCCGGACCCTGTGGTACGACAGGCCCAAGTACGTGTTCATGGAGTTCTGCGTGGAGGACAGTACCGACGTGCACGTGCTCCTCGAGGACCACCGCGTGGTGTTCAGGTAGCGCCTGCCCTCGGGCCTGCCCGCCCGGACGCCCTTCTCCGGCGCAGTTGCAGCCCCTACACCCTCTCCGCCTGGATGCCTCCGCAGCTGCAGGAACGGCGATGGGGTGGAGCTGTACAACGAGATCGAGTTCTACGCCAGGGTGAACTCCAAGGTGAGGGCTGCGCGCAGGCTGCCCGGGGCTCTGGAGATCACGCTACAACCCAGACGTTGAGCACTGGGCTCTGTGTGCAGGACTCCCAGGACAAACGCTCGGGCCGCTCGGTAACTTGCTTTGTGAGGAAGTGGAAGGAGAAGGTGGCCTGGCCTCGGCTCACCAAGGACGATATCAAGGTGAGGGTGGGGACCTTCTGTGCCTGTCCACAGGCTCAGGGACCTGTCAGAGTTGGGATGCCCCTGCCTCCTCTCTGGCCAATAAAACTCACCAGCTCTTGTCTGTTTGACCTTCTAAATACTGTTATCGTTTTCTGACATGGGTGTTTGAACCTAGGGCCTTCATACTGAGCTGCATCCTGTCCCTAATTTTTTGAAACAGGGTCTTACTGAGTTACTAAGTTTCTGGGGCTGGGCTGGAAGTTGTGATCTTCCTGCCTCAGCCTCCCAGAGTTGTCATACATCTGCCTGTGAACTCATAAATATCCTTTTTTGGGGGGGGTGCCAGGGATCGCACTCATGATTGTGCTTGCCAGGCTGGCATGGCCCTGTTGAGCTAAATCCCTGGTCTCCTCCTAAATATACTTAAATCTATCCCTTCCTTTCTTCCTGGCTCAGACTTTGTCCCTCTGGGTTTGCTGCATAATTTCAGCCCAACACCCCAACCATCTTCTGCGTTGTCTCTCATGGTCTAACACACACTGACCTTGTCACTCTCCCACATAAGAGCCCGCAGTGGCTTGTCTCCTACTGTGAAAAGTAGGCCACCTGCTGGCCAAGTCTGCTTTCATGTTCCACACTATGAAAATTGTTTTGTTTTTTTGATACCAGGGAATCGAACTCGGGATCTTGCGCTTGCAAGGCAGGTGGCTGAACCACTGAGCTAAATCCCCAGCCCTGAAAATTGTTTGGATTGGTTACTGACTTAGTTTTTGATTGGTTGCTGACATTTAAAATTGTGGATATTTGTTTGTAATCCTAACTGCTCAGGAGGCTGAGGCAGGAGGATCACCAATTTAAGACCAGCCTGGGCAATTTAGTAAGACCTTGTCTTAAAAGATAAAAAGGGCTGGGCTGTGGATTTAGTTCAGTGGTTCTGCCACCTGCCTTGCAAGTGCAAGATCCCAAGTTCGATCCCCAGTACCAAAGAGATCAAAAAGGCCTGGGATGTCGTTCAGTGTTCAAGTGCTTGCCTAGCATGTGCAAGGCCATGGGGTCAGTCCTCAGCACTGCCAAAAGAAGGTGGATGTTTTATCTACAAATCCAGTTTATTAGCCTCTTTGAAAAACTGGGAGGATCTGGCCATCCCAGCATAAATCCTCAAGGCCTGAACGGAGGCGTCAGGTGGGGTCTCCATTCTGGCTCAGTGTATCTTTTCCATTGCCTCCTTTCTCCCATTCCTGAGGGTTGACCCCCCGAGTGCTCGACACTGAGCAGTGCCGGCTTGTCTTGCGCAGTCCTGGAGGCTTTAGGATCCCGTCATTTTGCCCCTCCACCACGGTCCTCTTTTCCGCCTGCCCCACAACCTCCCCAGCTGCCTGCCGCTGCCCCTGCCTGTGACTCTGCTTCCTCCTGCAGCCGGTGTGGCTGTCTGTGGACTATGACAACTGGAGAGACTGGGAAGGGGACGAAGAGGGGGAGCTGGCGCAGGTGGAGCACTACGCAGAGGTGAGCTGCAGGGGGCTGTGGTGCGCCCTCTCTGTCCTGTGTCCTGTGTGTGTGTTTCTCCACTCTGCGGGCAGACTGCTCATTGGCGTGAATACTCTGCATGTTCTGTGGAGCATTTGTTTTTTTGTTTTTTGTTTTTTAGTACCAGGGATCAAACTTAGGCCCTTGTGCTTGCGAGGTAGGCAGCGGAACCACTGAGCCAAATCCCTGGCCCTTGGAACATTTGAATTTTGGGTTTTGTTTGTTTGTTTATTGAGACAAGGTCTTACTCTGTAGGTCAAGTTGGCCCTAAACTTACTATGTAGTCCAGGTTGGCCTGGAACTTGTGGCAATCCTCCTGCGTCAGCCTCCCCAGCGCTGGGGTTACAGGCATGGGCCACCGTGCCTGGCTCTGCCCTTTCTTGTGACCTTTGTCTCCCACTAGCTTTTGCAGAAGGTCAGCACCAAGAGACCACCCCCTGCCATGGATGACCTGGACGTAAGTAGAGCCATTCCCTTCCCGAGTCTCCTGTGAGCCTTACAGGGAGCCCAAGAGGGTTGGGGTGAAGTTCCGCAGTACAGCGCTTGCTTAGCCTGGGGGAGGTCCTGGGTTCTAGCACCTCAAAAACAAAACAAAATGAATATGACAAACACAGATGCTCTAGAAAGCTCCTGGCCCTGCCCATAGCCCCCAGTAGTTCTCAGTTCCTGTTCACAAATCTGATTTTGACGCCGGAGGTTAAGTATTTTCTCCAGGCTTGAAGATACCCCAGTGAGGGCAGGTGTTTTGCCAGCAGCCGGAAAGCTGAGGCAGGAGGATCTCTGGGAGCTTGAGACCAGCCTTGACTACAAAGTGTGACCCTGTGTCAAAAAAAGAAAACAAAACAAGACAAAAAAAAAACCCAGCAAGCCCCCTTCTTCCCTTCCCTCTTCCCCTCTGCTCCTCCCTCTGAGGGCAGCTGGCCTTGCTCAGTGTCTTCAGCTGAACGGTGCAGGGCTGGTGCTGACTGAGGGCCAGTGTCTTGCTTTCTCACCCATGGTCAGATTCTTGGCTGTTTCCTCCTCGGAGTGCAGTTTAGAAAGTCACACCAGTGGGCGGGGCGTCCCGGGCAGGCACCACAGTGCTCTGTCCTCTGTCTGTCACCCTAGGACGACTAGGATGGCGCCGTGATGCCCAGCAGTGGACTCTGAGATCGAGCGCTGGGAGGAGGCCTGAGAGCCTGCTCCGTGTGGTGCTCTCCTCCCTGCCCTGTGATTCTGGCCCATCCTGACCTGGGGCCACGTCCCGTGGCTGGAGAGCGAAGAGCAGACCGAGGGCGCCCAGCCTCCTGTCAAGTGATGTGAAATCTCTGGGCTGCTTGGCTATTTGAGTGTGTGTGAGTGTGTGTGTGTG